TGCTGAAACTTATCATTGATGTTCTAACTTTGTGGTTTCATGTACTTAACTTCTTAAGAGATTGTTCTATTTTCACAAGAAGTATTTTTTGTAAGGTTAGAAGTATTTTGTGAGAAAAGAGGGGTGATTGAAGAGTGGCAAAGCTTATACAAGAGGTTTAGATAGAGTGTAAGACTTGTGAGAAGTCTTATATGTGAAGTTGAGAGTGATACAAGAGTGAAATTACTTGTTTACTTACAAAGAGGGCATTTTGGATTTCTAAGGCAGCAACACCTTCTTATTGATTTTGAGAGTTCTATATCTCATTTTCTTGATTTTCTTTCATACACCCCTTTCTTAAATATGGCTTCAAGTGAGGGTGAGAGCTTGAGAGTGATTGAGAAGTTTAGGGGTGACAACTTTTACCATTGGAAGAAGAAAGAGCTTTTGTTGGCTTCATTGGACCTTTGGGACATTGTTGATGAAAGTGAAGACCCTCCAAGTGAGAATGTTGATATCAAAGTGAAGAAGGAGTACAAACGTAGTAAAAAGAAGGTAGCTATTCTCACCAACGTGATAATTCAAAAAGCAACATGAGGAATTGCTATATTTGTGGAAAACCAGGACATTTTGTTAGAAATTGCTACAAGGCCAAGAAAGGAGAGAGGGAGAATGCAAACAATGCTAGTGATAGTTTTGGTGGAGATGAGTATACTTTCATGGCAAAGGAAGGAGCCTCCATGGCTGCCATGTCAAAGTGGATTATAGATTCAGGTGCTACTAAGCACATGACACCATACAAGTGTTCATTTGATACTTATGAAGAAATTCCAGCAACAAAAGTGTGGTTGGGAGACAATGGTATAGTACAAGTCATTGGAATTGGCTCCATTATAGTGGAGATTGTTGTGAAGGACCAAATGAAGAGGATCAGATTGAAAGAAGTCCTACATGTGCCAAAAATGAAAAAGAACCTCCTTTCGGTGAGCAAACTTATATCACATGGTTGTAAGGTTCAATTTGACATGAATGGATGTTTTGTCAAGACATTGGATGGCCAACATGTTGCCAAAGGCCTTAGAGATGGAAATCTCTACTTCATCAATTGCAAAAAGGTGAATGGAGTTGAAGTGGTGGTATTTGTTGATTTTCCACAAGATCAAGACAAGTTTGGAATTTGGCATCAACGACTTGGTCATTTGAATGTCAAATGCATGAAGGACCTCCAATCTATGGTAAGTGGCTTGGATCTTGGTCAATTCAGCCACAATGCCATAACACTTACTTGTGAAGGATGTATACAAGGCAAATAACAAAGAGCTTCATTTCCAAGTGGAGTTGCAACACATGCAACAAAATTATTGGAGATTGTGCACTCAGATGTTTGTGGACCAATCAAGACACCATCAATTGGAAGAACAAGGTACTTTATTACATTCATTGATGATTTCTCAAGAAAGGTGTGGATTTACATTATTAAAGCTAAGAGTGAATGTTTCTCAAAGTTTAAGGAATTTAAGGCTCTTGTAGAGAAAGAATGTAAGTGCAAGATCAAAGTGTTGAGAACGGACAATAGAGGTGAATACATGTCAAAACATTCTCATGACTTCATGAAGATTCAAAGTATTGCAAGACAAACCTCTACTCTTTGCACTCCACAACAAAATGGAGTTGCTGAAAGAGCAAATTGTACCATTGTGGAGATGGCAAGGAGTATGCTTCATACACAAAACCTTGGGCATGAGTATTGGGCGGAAGTTGGTATAAATGCGATGTATACAAGGAATAGGTGCCCTACAAGTGCACTTACATCAATGACTCCACAAGAAGCTTGGAGTGGAAAGAAACCTTGTGTTTCACACATGAGGATTTTTGGATGCATTGCTTATGCAAAAGTACCAGATTGTATGAAGTCCAAACTTGATGCAAAAGGTACAAAATGTGTATTTGTTAGATATTGTGAAGGTACCAAAGCATATAAGCTAATGTGTTTAGAAACCAAGAAGATCATGAAAAGTCGTGATGTAGAGTTTTTGGAGCATAAGAGTGCTTTTGAGCACTTAAAAGAGTGTCTAAGTGGGAGTAAAGGTGTGTTTGTGGACACATCTTCAAGTTCAGCAAAGAAAGAAAGAAGAAGAAGATGATGATGACAATGAGGATGGAAGAAATATAAGTCAAGATCAAGTGCCAAAGAAGGTAAATGATAGTGTGCTTTCAATCAGTAGAACCAACATTGAAGACAATGAAGATATTGAAGGTGATGATGATGATGAAGAATATCAACCTTTGAGTGAGAAAAAACAAGTATTGAGGAAAAAGAAGGATGGAATGCAAGAAGAAGGGTCTTCTTCAAATGAAAAGAGATACCCTTTGAGAGAAAGAAAACCCATGTAGTGAATGGTAGAAGAACCACATCTTTCCTCAAGTAAGTGAAGAATATGCCAATGTTGCACTTCTTATTGATCCGTTGAGTTTATGTGATGGAATGAAATCCACGGATGCGTTGAAGTGGGAGAATGCTATGGAAGAAGAATACAAATCACTCATAGACAATAGAACATGGGAATTGATTCAACTTCTATCAAATCGATCTTCAATTGGTTGTAAGTGGGTGTTTAGAACCAAAAGGGATGCAATGGGCAATATTGTGAGATACAAGTCTAGATTGGTTGCCAAAGGCTACTCACAAGTTACTGGTGTAGATTTCAATGAGACATTTGCTCCCGTGGCCAAATTCACCACTATTAGAACCATTGTGGCAATTGAGGCAGCAACGGATTTGGAGATGCATCAAATGGATGTGAAGATGGCTTTCTTGAATGGAAGTTTGAAAGAAGACATCTACATGGATTAACCTCAAGGATTTGTTGAAGAAGGCAAACAACACCTTGTTTGTAAGTTGAAGAAATCCTTGTATGGGCTAAAGCAATCACCAAGAGCATGGTACCAACACATTGATACATTCTTTGTGAGTGAAGGATTTGTAAGGAGTGAGGCTGATCATTCCTTATATGTGATGCAATCAAATGAGTTCATATTGATTGTCATCCTCTATGTTGATGATTTGATCATCTTAACCAATACATTGAAGATGATGGATTGGTTGAAGGCAAAGTTAGAAAAGGAGTATGAAATGAGTGATTTGGGAGAGCTTTACTATTGTTTAGGAGTAGTGTTTGTAAGAGATCGTGCCAAGAAGACCATTACAATGAGCCAAAGCAAGTACATTGAAGAAGTATTGAAACAATTCAATATGGAGAAGTGTAAGCCTATTAGAATACCATTGGAAGCAAACTTGAAGTTGATGAAGTTCACGGATGAAGAATTTGCTGAAGTTGAAGGTCAAATACAAGGTGTTCCATACAAAGCAACAGTAGGCTCACTTATGTATGCAATGGTTGGCACAAGGGTGGATCTTGCATATGAGATGAGTGTTGTGAGTCAACACATGTCAAAGGCTGGACCAATCCATTGGACAACCATCAAAAGGATCATGAGGTACTTAAAAGGCACTTTGAACTTCAAATTATGCCTTGGAGGTGATAACATTAGTTTGTATGGTTATTGTGATGTGGATTGGGCTTGAGATGCAAATGATAGAAGGTCAGCAATAGGGTATGTATTCTTTGTTAGAGTGGGAGCAATTTTATGGAATTGCAAGAGACAACCAACAATTGTAAGGTCAACAATGGAGGCGGAGTATATGGCAGCAAGCCATGGTGCAATGGAGGCAATATGGTTAAGACAACTTTTGGAGGACATTGGAGATGTGCAAATGGAAGCAACTCCAATGAAGTGTGACAATCAAGGATGTCTTGCATTTGCAAAGAATCCAAAGCATCATTCAAGGATAAAGCACATTGACATTCAACATCACTTTATAAGAGAGAAGATTGAAATAAGAGTGATTGATATGAAGTATTGTGCAACGGAGGACATGCTTGCTGATTTGTTGACAAAGGCATTAGTAAAAGATAGACACCACATGTTGACAAAGGCATTAGGCTTAAAAGGCATTTGACCAATAGCAAAGTGGGAGTGTTAAAGTAAAAGTAGAAAATGTTACCTTGTATAGGATATTACCTTAGGTAAATTACTAGTGGTCAAAGGTTTGACTCTTGGTATATAATAAGGGCATCCAATGGATATAGGACGAAGTCATGGACCAAGAGTCAAAGTCAAAAGGATAAAGTATTAACAAGGGAATATCCAAAGACTAAGTATGAGTCATTAGTATGTGTCATAGGATACCCTGGTAGTTCGTGACATGCCAAAGGATCCTAAGAGTATGTGTATAAGACGTAAGAGTAATTAGTATTGGACATAAGATACTCTTGGGACTCGTGAGATGCCAAAAGGATCCTAGGGCCATGTGTGTAAAAGTCAAAGAGTGGACGTTGTCTTTTAGGGCAGCAACTACCACCTATAAGTAATGGGTGTTGGAAGTGAGAGACATCTTACTCCATACTTTCTTTGTGTGCAACCTTGCTGATGCTAAGTGTTGTGTCTTCTAAGTACTTGTTTTCTTAATAAGGCATTCAAGTCCCTAAGTAGTGTATTCGTTCTGTTCTGCCCCTGGCTATGTGGATTTTAATAGATGTATAAATGGATCCCTGAAGTTGATGTTATTTAAAACAGAATAACTCTTTGGCAGGAACCTTTGTACCACCGCATGTATTGTTATAAGTCCATTGAGATGTCTTTGATTATCACCGATGTATGTGCATTCAATGTACAAGTTCTTGCTTTCAAAAGATTTGGACAATTTAATTACAATCACTCTCGGAGCAGAGATTGTTCTCAGAAATTTTATCGCAGTTGCTGTCGTTAAAGGAACTTTTTGTCAACGGAGCAGAGATAGTTCTCAGAAATTTTATCTCAGTTGCTTTCGTTAAGGGAACTTTTTGTCAAAGCTGTTATTTATACATGATTTAATCTGTATTTGTTGCTTATCAGCTTTGCTTAGGATTGAAGTTGCTAGAAGTATCAAACCAACTCATTGCATTCTAGTGACAAAGCTATTTGGAAATTGAGCTTGATGTAGTGAATTCAATCTTCACTTATCTTCTCTTGTTTCAAGAGGTATTGAATGGAAGTATTAAGTCCCTCTTAGGACTTACGATAATTAAATACCATTTTCACCTCTTCTATCCAAATGTTCTAAATACCCTTACCTTCTGATCTATACTTCCAAATGATGTGAACTTTAGCATACATCTCTAGACGTATACTAGTTTTGATTTGAGTCCAGCACGAGGTAATTTTGTGAGAGTAGTACCCTTTCAGTTGCTTCCAAGTAACGAGAGGATTCTGAAACCATGTGCCAAATCCCAAAATCTGAATCCCGCGTAGAATTGCCAAGTCGTTTTGGTTGACCATAAATAATGAAAGCATGCATCTCGCCTTCATCGTCGATTTGAAAAATGCAATCTTTCCTCAAGATAATGCCTGCTTCTGCAGATAGTGAAGCCTCATGGCGTCTTGCGGTCACATGGAAACTGAGCTTGGCAGGAGCTGCGGGCACTTTCAACCAGATCCTACTGTTGCACCTAAAATACTCTGATCACCTAAAAGCACTTGGTCCTCAGATTACGATAACACGTTATATTTGAGAATAACAAACAGGTTCCAAGTCCCAAAGCTGAAATAAGAAGTAACAGCCAGAACTCGCAGTGAAGGCAGTTAAACCACGTAGCGCTATCTATCTCCTTTAGCGGCTTCCTCCTTACGTATCCGCTCCTCTTCCTCCTTATTATAGATTGCATTTAGCTGCCCCTCAAGCTGAGCGCGAGAAACAATACACACTTTCAACGTCAGATCTATTACAATCAGCAGTTCCACAATTCTAAACGCTTCAGTTTGAACATATGCCAAAACAAACAGAATTGCGAGCAAAAGATGAAATCATCGGAACTGCTCACATGGCAAATAAACAAACGGTTTCACTTACGTGCACATTTCTGATTTTTACACTTTGCAGCTCCTCCACAAGAGTTGCCATCCTGATAAGTTGAACGAGAAAAATATATACAAATACTAAGAAAGAAGTTTCGATATAAACTTCGAAATACATAAAATTGTGACCACAAACGAGCAACAAGTTCTGATGGACTTTCACTAGCCTGAACTGAAGATCGGAAACTTGGTGTAGAAGTTCACGCTCCCTGTCTGTTGAAACCTCAACCTGGGCAGTATTCAACGATGAGATCAGTAGAGAACAAGTTGCAAAAGAAGCATAAACTTTGTCAAACAAACAAATTAAGTAGATACCATTCAACTGACGCAAGTCCACATCAAACCAATTTGTCCAAGCCTGAGTCAGAGAATAAGTTCAACACGATGGCGCCTCCTTCATTAACACAACAAATATACCACATTTTCTACCATTCAACCAAAAATTGTAGTACATGTGAAAGGCAAAATGAGTATACTCGGGAACTATTGATCGGTGCCTTCTCACGTGGGTTGAATTTTAGGGCTTTCGTTTCAAATCATACTTGGACTTGAACAGTAAACACAACAACTATTCTAACTATAGATATCATCGCCACAACTCCGTAACGCTTAAACTAAAACTGCACACCTGATTTACACGTAGCCGTGCCCCCACTGAATTCCGCTGCGGAACTCCAAACCACTATATTAGCACCCACAACACTGCTGAACTAGCAACTCATTGTACGTACACGAGTTGTCGGAGACAAAACCATTTGCTCCACCAAATTCCCATCAGACTGTACCAACCCAACTCATCCAGGTCCACTCCCTTGTACTTCCCAGTCAATAAGCAGGGAATCTAAAACACTCGGAATTGACGAAGTTGCACAAATCAGTTCCAAACTTACCGAATGTTCAACTCCGGAGTTGGTACTTGAAGTTCGTGAAAATCTGGACATAGAGCTGGTGGAAATAACTGCAGAATTCAATATTATACAAGATAAATACCGCTATAAAAGAAATCAAAGTACTGAATTGTAAGGATTTAACATCTCATTACAACAGATAAACCTTTCACCTCCACTAACCAAACTCCCGATACTCTACACGCAAACATAACAATAGAAGTGTTGAAGGAATGAAGATGTGAAGTTATGCTTACCGCTGGCAGCATCTTGTGGATTGAGACTCTGAATAAGGTGCAAAATACTGTCCTGCATCATCAATTGCACATGCATATAGTTAGGCTCCAGGAAGGCGATTGAAAGGAAGAAAATTGCATAGAAGAGCATAATCGTGCATCAATCCGAGGCCACCAATGAAAAAAACAAACCCACCTGCTGTTTTTGTGCTTGTTGAAAGATTTGTTGTAGTTGAGAAAGAACAGCCGCTGTTGGTGTTGTCACTTGAGAATTCTGATGCGATATTAGTCCATTCGGAGAAGACACATGCAGCGAAGAGTGTGAATGCTGCGAGAGGAGAGCATGCTGCGAAGAAGACGAATGCTGCGAAACCTGAATCATCAAGAATAAAAGAAAGACATGCACACATCAATGTCTTTACATTGCTATTTTACAATTGCCTATGAAATCTCGCACCTGTTAGGCAAGAACAAAGAGCTCAATTCGAGAATAAGCTGACCTGACGAGCATTTATCCCACCCAAAACTAACCATGTAAAAGGTAGCGATTTGTAATCATATTACAACGTGAACGGTTAATTGTTATTCTTTCAACTATCCTTCAGTAATAATAAGAGTGCTCAAATAAAATTTGAAGTGACTAATGACTTTTCAAGTTATGATAAGTGTAAGCGTGTGCTTTAGTATTTAAGTCTCTGTTTAAAACAATTGCTTACGGCATACTCTAAATATATTACAAAGGCAGCAGCTTTTCCAACACTGTTCAGAAGCTATGAGAGAATATATACACTTTGCATCGCCCCGTGTCAAGGCGAAGAAGGTGAAACCCCACAGTTTAGATAGGAAAAGGAGAGGGCTGAAGCATACAGGAAGCCTTCGTTCACCAGACATGAAATCACCAGAACTGGCAGACTTATGAAGTGACGCCTGCACAATATCAAGTGTGGATCGAGATCTAGGTCAGGTTCGTACATTCTTAAAATAAAGATCGTTCACAAACCTTTTAAAGCTAGCCAACAAGAAATACAAGTTCTTATATGCTCTCTAATATAACCTTTAGGGCAGATGTCCGTACACTATTTGTTTTCTCTAAGAAACTTGGAGGACACTCTGTGCAGACAATTTTATGATTTACAAGATTATACATGCGTTCAAGGCGATCCTAGCAACAAAAGTACCAATTAATAAGGAACAATAACATACTTGTGTATTCGACGTCTTTCGTGGGTTCAATTGAGATGACTCCTGCATTGTCACAAACATCGAGATGTGAAAAGCAATAAGTCACCACATTGATCGTCAGTTTGACAATGTCTAAATTTACAAATGAGACTTGAAACTGAATCATATCAAGAGAACACAAACCAATGCCCCAAAATTACTCTTTCATAAAGATATGTATTTTTGAGACATGTATAATTACATTTTCCACTCTAAACCAAACCATCTCGCAGGAAATTTACCTCGAATTGCGTATCATCTGATGTAACAGAGAAACGTCCTTTGTGAAGTACAGGCCCCTTCTGGACAGGAGCCTTTACTTTATCTTCTGAAATCTCTTTATTCAGATTGACCTGAGCTGATCATTTTCAGAGGACATTCATGCATGACATAAAATAGGCACATACCATTAAAATATTACATAAGAAGATACATACCATGAAGATACAACCAAAATTTCAATTAAATTAAATTGAAAATAAAAATGAAAATGAAACGGAAATATGATATCTTCGGAACATACTAATAGACATACTGGGAGTTTGCCTTGAAACGGCTTGCAATCCATTAGTTGATTTCTGGTCAAAACTGGAGCGATCAGAGATGGTGTTCACTGGTCCACTAAATGAACGTTCACGTTGCATCATACGGCCAGAATAGTCACTACCTCGTCCACCTTGACGATAGTCTCTATCCCTGATAACAACAATATTGCTGCAATTGTCAAAGGAGAGTAAAATTACAATGCATAAAGAATCTTGCATTCAGGAGAGGAAATAAACAGAGTAAAATTCTTCCAACTAGTCCCGATACAGTCAGTATAAAATATGCGAAGAGTGACAATTGAGCAAGCTACATTCACCTCCATATTCCCTAAGTATACTTAAAACTTACTTAGAATTTGACAATTGATCCATATAAAACCATGTACATGTAACTAAACGCATTGTAAATCCACAAAGTACCAGGCCATTCTCAGATCCGATCTCACCAGAACCTCGACGAATAACTGAGTTCAGGGGCTCAAATAATTTTTTAGGGTCCTCAATTGCTTAAGTATGAGCGACGGTGAAGAAGTGAACCTGTCTCGTTCTCGTTCATCCATAGTGGTGAGCCCACGGATTGAAGACAAAACACGCTCACTGCCAACACGACGAATTTCATCTCGTTCAGAACGCTCGTCGGAACGTCTTTGCTCTCTCTCTTCCTTTCTATCTCTGTCATCACCTCTTCGTTGTTCACGGTCATCCCTCTCTCTACGTGCCTCTGATTTCCGATTTTCCCTTGGAGAACCGTGCCAACTCAAACTTTCACCATCATGTTCATCCCAGACATCAAATCGACCACTGCATGCACCAAGCCAGTTCATTTACTATGCACATCTGCAACACAGATTCATTGTCGCTGCAAAACAATGCATACGATAAACGTTGACTAAACCATAATTGTGAATCTCTTGCAACTCATGTACATTTGAATACCAAAATTCCAAACAGACAGCTCATATAAGAGTCCGATCCATGGCCTTGACCAGGGATAACGTCGACGAATTCAAAGGGCAATTTGAGCAATTTCTGATAAGTAGCTGTGGTCTGTCATCAGTGGTACTCACATATGCTTGGGCTCTTTCCTGCCAGATGGGAGTGCAGTCCTGCATGTAAAACATGTTAAAACACCGCTCAAAGCCTCCATGTAAAAGCAACATATGTATAATAAATTGATTTTGGAAGTTACAGCATCATCTCAATTTAAGCGCATTATATGACAACTTGACCCTGGGGACCATTAAACAGCACTGATAACGGTTCTTTGCCGGTCTATACTAATGAAATAAAATTGGTAGAAACATCATCAAAGTTCTAAACTAAAATCAGCCATGATATAAATGAAACTATAATCCAGGGTTGATCATGATATTGTGATACCTACACGCACCTAGATATATTTGCAGACTTGGGTTGCACTGGATTTGGAAGAGGTCCCGACCTGATCCTCGTGACTCGCTCTCCTGCCTGTGGTTCTCACAAACACACAGAAAAACATCAACGCCAGCCTACATATACTTAGAACAAATACATATTTAAGGCATTAACACCCACGAGCAATGAACCAAAACTCATACCCAGAACTAAGAAGGTAGAGTCAAAAACACATGGGAATTTTCTCAACAAATCAAAGTTACTGCGATACAAAGATTACAAGTATTTAGTACCCAAGTACTTGCTGCACTACTTACATCATTTGTGGTCTCGGCAATGATTGAATGAATGGTAACTGGCATCTGAACTCTGTTGAAGGAAGATTCACGACAAAGTGGCGGCTGAGACAACGGGGATGAACATTGCAAGTCACCCTCCGTGATTTCCTCTTTCACTGGCGTAACTGGAGCTTGAGAAATCTCTTCCGCTTCCGTATTCAGGGCAACCTTTAATAATTTGGGAACAACTTCCTCATCATCTTGGATCTGAGAAGGAACAGCAATGACGCTGATTTTTTAAATTAGTAAATATGAAGGAACGACGACTAAAACCAACAATTGAGGACTGCACACGAATCACATCAAAGATTCAACATTTATCAGATTTTCTCACAACCAAAAATTAAAGTTTCGAACAAGATGAATTAGTGAAACTTTGAATTCGCATAGCTAAACAGACAATTGAAAATTGCTTGACTCTGAAATAACTAATGGAATTCCCTACTAAAATTTATCCAGAGCAAGAGGGGGCAACATACCAATGCTGCCTGAGCTTTCAAATCTTCAACGTTGAAATCCCAAGCGCTCACTCCTCTCTTGTACTCATTCTGTGACAGTCGCAGCAAACATGAATAATTGCCAATAGTAACTAGACTAAAATCAGAGAGGTCAAGCTAATATTCAATATGCAGCTACGTCTTGGCAAAGGGACCGCTCAAGAAAATCAATAAGAACAATAGTGACATACTTAGACAGGGATCACAAAGTGTAACAAGATAATCAAATTCGAACACACAAATTCAAAAATCCACGTTAGGAACAGTGGCGTTAAACGAAGAGTATTGCAGTTTCAAGTACCAACTAACATTGCTAATGAACACAATAAAAGACGTAACTTCTCAATCGTAGCGTTACCTGAGATTGAGCTTCTTGCTCATCGTACGGCTGGATCTGTTGGGCAAGTCGATTGGCATCTTTGATCTGCAAACCAAGTGAAAAACAGAACTTCATACAAATCAAGTTCCAACTGATTAAGGAACCAGAATACTTCAAGAAGTCTCGGTAAAGATCAAAAAGAAACAGGAAATACAAATTCATGAGTAGCATGATGATTATCGAGTTCAGAAGCGTGCCACACACGATGGAAATACCTTCAGATTATTCACAGTCTCTCCTAATGGAGGTAATCCTTCCAAAATATGACGAGCGATATAATCAAACGAACGAGCCTGCTTGAAAAACGAATGTCTCAAAAGTTTTTCAGCAGTAGGCCGTTTGGCAGGATCTTTCACTAAGCACATCGCAATCATCTCCTTAAACGACTGCACACAAAAAAGGAAACCGGTTACTTAACATTCAAAACAAGAGCAGAACTATATTCAAATTATCTACATGGAGCTTGTAACAAAAAGGACAAACTTGTTTAGGCAAAACTTATGCACCAAGTATAATGTCCCTCACACTGACAGTATATTTTATAAAACCTATAAACTGATAAAATAAATATTTGTAGAAGCATCTGTACGTTATCAGATACAAAATTGAAGTGTGCAAACTCTCTACGAAATATAACAAAATTAGCAAAAACTCTAAACTTTCTCAAATTTAGCACAAATACAAAAAGGCATAACTTCACATAGTAAAAGCACCTTCGAGAACTTTTTATCGCGTTCATAGTCCAGCCCAGGAGGAGCATTTTGTAAGGTCATCAGCAGCACCTGTTGCACCAAAACTGATATTAGAACTAGAAAAACCTGATAAATATAATCAAAAGCCAGCAAGTACAAGTACAAGTATACGAGGCAAGGTTTGATGGAAATGGGTTAATATACAAAATATATATCAACACACAGAGCCAGAAGGGAGTCCCAGGGAGTACTATGTATTGCATCAAGCATATGGGTAAAATTTTCGAATACGTACCTTCAAAGGAGGGTATTTAGAAAAAGGTGCATGACCATGGGCAAGCTCCAGAGCAGTTATCCCGAAAGACCATATATCAGCTCTGTCGTGGCAAGAAGACAGTCAATTAGGATAACAAACATAGTAAAAGACCGACTTTTATAATTCAAGTTGGATCAAATATCCTAGCGGAAATATTATTATGGATGTACACCCCTTCTTTAAAAAAGTAGATATAATTTTACATGGAATTCACAATCTTTGTGACACACGTATTACTTATTCCGTACACATGTTTTTCTCAATCATTCCAATTTTTTCTTCCAAAAACAAAACTTCTGTTTTGGTAATGTAAAAAAGTTTGTAAGGAATTGAACATATAATAATGATTCATTTTTAAACATTGATGATACACTTGTTTTACAAACGTTTTGATATGTCCGAACTGTAAAAATTTATATATTTCGTTTCTTCATAATCTTCTAAAAAGTTACGGAATTATGTATATGTTTGCATAAAGAGTGTCACCTCTTGTATTCTTGAAATTGCATTGAGTCATCATAAGAGACAAATATCTTTATGTTTATACGGTACTGGTCATTGACATTGCAATGAATCATCGTACGTGACATTACATGTACACAAATTTAATTCAATTATTTGGAGGTTGATTCACAGTCCACAATGTTTTTGCTAAGATACTGTAGACAAGTACACAATAAATTATCCACCATCCTTAAGGATCAAATGACAAAGAGAGGAAAGGATTGTAAGGACAAACTTGAAATCGTAGCCATGAAGTTGTTCCATAACTTCAGGTGCCATCCTGCAAATTTGTAAGAGCAAAGGAATGAGCATAATAATTATCTTTTACATCTACTGAAGGACATTAATCCCCTTATGTCTCAATTATAATCAATACTAGAAGGAGCTCTTGAATAGCCACCCGTTGCAAGTAACGGAGAAAGAAGTGTACATACGATTAATAAAATGAAAAATTCGGGAAAAAAATGATCCAACAATCTGCTTTGTAGAGAATTGCATATATAAACAGGAACAACAATACAAAAATTTCAAGATCTCGCAAGCAAAAGAAGAGGTTGAGAGGAGTATCTATACCAGCAAGGTGTTCCAGCAAAAGTATTCCTAGACCGCTGTCTATCACCAGTGTCAAACATGCATGCTGAAACACCAAAGTCTCCAAGCTTCACAGATCCATTTGAATCAACTAATATGTTCCCAGCCTGAAAATAGTAAACGAAGTGCACCAAATACATTGTGAGTAAATACTCATTTGCATGCGGTCCATCGAGACCACACCTAGAATAAATATTTTTGACCTGCCGTTTCAAGATTAATTTTAAAAACGCTCGTGCGCCAGCATATACAGCATAAACACGATTGCCGCCTCACCATCTCACGGTCTACCAACAACCAGCTGTATAGCAGTAAAACGTTAACCACCTTGTAATCACCCGTGCAGCACCTGATACTGGGTGCAGGTTAATGCTTAAGCCACACACTCATCTTCAATAACGTGCTTTTTAAAGCTGTCATGCAACTACAGAAACACGGAACTGGATAAACATCTACTAAATTAAAGCGCACTTGTCCATTCCTAAGTGGATCGTATTAAGATGGGACAGTCAATTTGAAGAACTGGGCATCTCAGAATTGGGAGGAGGAAGTTAAGAACCATCAGCAAGTAGTCAAGCAGGAAGAGACTTGGATGGATCGCAGTACCTTAATATCCCGATGAATATGGCCATGGCGATGAAGGTACTCAAGTGCTTTCAAGGATTCTTTCAGTATAGTTGCAATAACGGGTTCCTCAAAACCATCAGGGTAAGCCGCTTTCATTATGTGCAAACATGATCCACCTGCCAGATGAGGCATAACCACCCAGAGGTTTTGGCCAACAACGAAGGAGCAGTGAGCCTTCACCACATTCTGATGATTAATTAGGCTCATTGTCTGGGCCTCACGGCGAATGTTGTCCTGTATTCAAGCAGGTGCCATCAACATCCATATTTAGTATTTTTTTTTTTTTTTTTTTTTTTGTGAGAAAAGACCTCAACCATCTGCATCGTCAAAGCTCCACAGAATCATCACTTAAGAGAGAAAAAGGGAACTATGACATACAAATAAACAAACAATCAAGCAAAAACTATAAATAAAACAAAACAAAAATACCCATAATCAAAAGTAAAAAGTTCATAAGGATTAGTAATTCCAGGGCATTAGTTCTCTGAAATATTTAATCGTAGTAACCAATCAAGCCAGGGAATTTTTATGAAACTTACCAGATTACTGTTGCATTTTTCGAGATCCAAGCTCTTAATTGCCACAATCTCATTATATGTAACGCAATGAGCCCTATAAACTATTGCACTTACACCCTGTCCAATCTCCTCATACAGTTTGTATTCCGAAGCCAATACAGGATACGACCGCTTTTCCGCTTCTACCATTGTACCACCTCCTGACGGCATTTTGAATAGAGTGGACCTACGTGATTGCAGGTTATTTATTTGCAAAATCCATATCCTCTCCTGAGTGATGGGTTTGGTGGCACTCTCAGCCACTGCTGCTTATATCATCATTGAATCTAAACCCAAATGTATTTTAAGAGTAATCTTTGTCTATGTGTACTTAAAGCCTCCAAACACATATTCTCATGTGCGCAGCCACTGTTTCTGGAATTCTACAGCTTATCTCTGAATCGCCAGTGTCGAAAAAGTGAGCAATCCCAGAACCTCAAAATGTACAATACGTAAATGAATTTACAATATCAGCTTGTGGAGTTGCTTTCAATGCTTTCTCGACACAATGTAAAGTTTCTGAACTCTCCTGCCAAGTTCTTGAGATAATGGTGTCACCACTGGTGGTATCATGCAACGAGAACCTTCTTGCCTATTCTATATGTAATAGACAACTCTTCAAGCACTCTCCTTCCATATGTTTCAGACACCTTGATTCCATTGTCCCTACAAAACAAGACATCATTGGTAAGTAAAGAGGCGTCACAAAGCATGATAAAAACTAAAAAATAAAATCAATTGAAAAGGAAAAATCCGCAACATCAACCCACGTCGCTCGTGAGCAAGGGTTCGACTATGCAAGAATTCAGCTTCAAAATTAGTTTGTAAACCTCACGGGAAGAAATACGTAATTGACCGATTTGTGACCTCAATCTTCCTCTTATTTGCCCACCCCCTTTACGGTATGAATACTTCCAAACATAAACGTAATGTTTCAGAGTGTTAACAAAAGACTGGTAGTAGTGTTCTCAATCACCGTGATTACTGTCCCCTAAAGTTGGGTAAATTTTTGAACTGTGAAACCTGGATATTTGAAAGAAGAGCCAAATTTAAAGCAGAATTATTGAAGTGATCGACTAAAATTCCATCTTTCAACTTATTGTTATTTATTTATTTATTTTTTTTTTTTTCCCACAGCGACGGTACAAGTATTACTTGGTAATTTTGAGTCAAAGCCTAAAAGGAAGCCCTACACACAACGTCAACATACCCCTCCATCAGTAGCGCGGTATGTTGTAAGGGCCAGTCCAAACAAAGTCAAACAATTTGGAATCCATCACTACCGAGAGAAGCCAATTCATGACGAAGCAAACGTCACTAACGTCAGTAACAATAACACCCTGAGAACCTGCTTTACAATCGTCTATGTCCTCTGCATTCTATATCCTCTAAACATGCAGAAAGAATTCAGCTTTTATGCATCCAAATCAGCGCACTAAAAAAACCCTAATCCATATTCACAATAAGAAACACTTGGTTCCTTCCTGCTTAGTTCTTCCTCCAATTTCTCTCTATTCATAAAAATGATTTAGGATTTATCAGTTCACGCAAGAACTTCTAACAAATTCTCCATGCACCTCCTCAATTATTTGAAAAGTTTCTAAAGTAAAGCTCACGAAATATGACAAGAGGACAACATAACGTTCTTCCTGAACTATGTGATTTGAGCCCTCCAGCATCTCAGTTCCATGAACGGCGACAAGGACACAACTCTACATATTGAGAAAACAACCTGACAGGGTAGTAAGCTTCAAGGATATTAAAATCGTCACCGTCAGCGGTGTTTCCAGAAGTTGGATCTTCAGAGCCAGTGTATTCCAAAACCGCTTCGAAATCGAACAACTTGTTGAATTCATTCAAAACCACGAAAGGCAGGGGAACCCAAATTTCAACATAGATGGAAAACAGAATAAAACAAAATGATAAAATGGAGCACCTCTAATTGACTTCATCAGAGCAGGATTGCAAGCAGCTCGCATTCTAGCTTCGACGTTAAAACAGAGCTTGGGCAACAACTAACGAATATATCTATCGTGGTGAATAAAAATAAATTTCAAAATAAGTGATTTTTTTTCTTTGAAAAATATTACGAGCGAAATTGCAGAATGCAACTAAATGAACTTGTGTTAACCAATATACTGCGATCCTCTCTAAAAGCGCTGATTGATCTCAAGCACAGTCCAGCAATCAAGCCATCGTAAGGTATCCTAGCACAGACTACAGCTCTCATCGCAGACGCTGCAAACAAGAATGGAAGGACCTGAACTACAGAATATCGCTTGTGAATTTTGTAACTACGTAGATGATAACAATGATACTGACACTCCTTCAAGGATGGTAAGCTAAGCTACCGGCTGGCACAAACTTGCGTAGTTCGCACCCAAACCGAGAGCAGTGTAAATTTAATACCAGCCACAGATTGAATCATATGGGGGAAAAAATTAACAAAGATTCTCTAATACGCTTCTCACAGTAGAAAATAATTCGATTCGTCCTCGTCCTCTACTAACCCTCTGCAATACATTTCAATGAAAATTGAAGCACATTTTTTCTTCTCAATGACGAACACAACCCTCACCATTCATTCGCACAGGAGTAAGTATATTACCAATCTATGCATGCGAGTGATGGCGTCCACTGCGTCTACCACCATTATCACGAACGGTTCCAGACTTGAGGATCCTAACTTTGCAATATCGCTTTCTCTTAGTTACAAGCTCTTACGATCTTTGGCCCATCACCCGTTAGCAAGTGCAGGTGCAAGAGCTTGATCTACATCTCACGCTATTCTCTCTGTCTCAAACCAAACAAAAACAAAAAAATCAGAAACCGTATCACATCTAATATCCCAATCTCCCTTGACCTCCTCAACACACACACAAACACAAACACACACCACCTCACCACTTGACACTATTACCGGACACTCCTAAAGAGACGCAACGAGAAACGCAAGAATATACCCGAGCTAAACCAGACAAAATCACTACTTACCTACACCGCGACTCTCCCATTGCCACAAATCATCGACTACCGTCAAAACTTCTCAGCACCGAATCTAGTTGTTTACATCACGACAGCACTCCATCTGCTCATACGAAAAACTTCGTCTCTCTCTCTCTTTCACTTCTCATTCCCTCAACACCCCGGAGCTGTTATGCGAATAACACCAGTACCACAATACTCGCCAACAGCACAGTTGCAGAATTTAACCAGATTCACCTGCAACCACCACCGACTCAAAACCAGCGACAACATATCCCACTCTGCTCACTTGAAGCTATAACTCTGAGCTCTCTCCCGTCCACGGGAGCGACCGCAAGATCCTGACGCCAAATGGCTCCCTCCCTCCGAGCGCCTTGCAAACAACAACCCTCTCCCTCCCGCACCCGTTCTTCTCCCTGCGCACTCACTCACTCACTGCATGAGAGAGGGAGAGAGAGAGAGCGAGAGAGAGATCCCGCCGTTTTCTTCTTCTTCAACGGCTTCCTTCCTTCGCTGCAGGAGCACTGCACTGCACGTGAAGTAACACCAAATTCTTCTTCTCGTTCGGTCGGTGTTTGTTTGTTAGTTATATATCTGTGCTGGTGCTGCTGCATTATTCCCCGGTGTGCTGCTGCGAGAGCAGATTGCTTGGGTTTGCTTTGCTTTGCTTAGGAATGGCGGTATCGATTAAAAGCCCTTGTCCCCCAGATCTCTCCCTCTCATCGCAGTCCTCCCTCCCTTCTTCTGTGGGGAGGTTCGCTCCTCCGACTCTGTCTCCCTTTGCTTTTCCTTTCCTTTTCTTTCCATCGCTGCCCTTCCTTCCGACCAGGCCTTTCGGGTCATCTCCGCTCTCAACTGCTTCATTAAGCCAGAGAAGGGGGGGGGGGGTGTGCTGGGGGCCGATGAGTGTTTGAGTGTATCTCATGGAAAAGTTTGAGAAATTTGAAATGGGTTATACTAGGACGCAAGAAGAGGCATTCTAAAGAACCACCTTTGTAGTATAATACTTGGTTTTGATTACATGTACAACATTATTTGAAATTTTATCATTTTATTTTATTGTTTTTTGCATATATATATATATATGTTTGTTTTACAATTCAAACTTCTTTTTTCTTCTTGCATAATTGTTGGAATTCATATCCTGTCAACACATGCAGTTACATATTATTTCGTCTTCATGAAACACATTTTCCACATGAAGTTACATTTTAACCTATTGCTTTTTCGACATTCAATATACATCAGTATTTAATCAATATAATTATTAAAAAAAAAAAAATTGAGACCTACCATTTGCAAACCAAAATTTCATTATCATGTACTAGTTGCATGAAATTTAATAGGGTGTTTATTTGTTCAGTTTCACTAATTTATGTATTAAAAAAGCATGCTCTGGTAAAGTTCTTGCACTTTCTTAGAAGTCATACCATTTTGTTGTTGTCAAGTACCACTTTTCCTAAAGAGTTATAGTATTTGGATATCTTCTAACTTGTACATTCCAGTTCAACATTTAAGTGTGTTCATTTTGACTATTCACTTGGATATCATTATTCTATCACTTTAAAAAGAAGTTCGTGGTTGCAATATTTTCATTCATTCATTCATTCATGTTATTGTCTTGTTATGTGTGATAAATGAAGAATGCATGTTTTGATTTAATATTTTGAACACCAAAAAGAACAAAGGTGGGTTACATTTACTTTGTGCTGAGAGTAAATTCAACTGAATACAAATTATGTCTGTGAGTATATTTGATCCATAATGACATTATTTTATCTTGTTGGGAATGCCTGTAAAAAGAAGATTTCTTGGCTCTTCCCATGCAAAAACATTAAAAAGTGAAGCGGTGACAACTAAAAAGAATAAAAGAATAAAAGCATATATCATTCCATGCTTCTCATTTGAATGGATGAAATCAAAGGCTTACACTTTTTAGTTTATGATGTGAATAGTAAAAATAAAAAAATAAAAATAGAATAACTAGTTAATTTAGATTCTCACTCTAAAAATTATGGATGTTAAAAAATAAAAAATAAAAACTAAAAAAATATTTATAGTATATATGTGTATATATGTATGCTTTTGATAATTAAGATGGTTGTACAAACTAAAAATCTCTTGTATTCAAAATACAATATCAATTACTACTTAAAGCAAGAATTTTTTTTTTTAATATATATATTTTTAATATTTTACCTTGATGAACAACAAGACCAATAAAAATAGAATTTATTATTCTAAGATTTAATTTGACCAATATTTGGAAAGAAAAATGAAGTGAAGGTTGAGATTTTATGCAATCATAGAATAAAAATAGATAAGAATATATATATATATATATATATATATATATATCAATGTAATATAAATAATAAAAATTATGATTTAAAAAAAAATTGATAATAATTTTAAAATTTCAAGTTACAAAATTTAAGATGTTATATTATATTATATCTACCTTAAGATATTCAAATAATAATATCTACAAATAAGTTGTTAATTAATGTTGCATACATAATATAACGTTATGTTAAAATTTATAATGTTAAAAAATAATAATAATAAATAAAAGTATAAAAATTAATACTTTGTTAATTTTTTAGAAAACATAATATTTTTTGAATCAATTAATTTATTGCTAACATAATGATAAAAGATTTTTATGTTGGATAGTCAATAGTAAAACCTATTAAGCTAGAATTTTTACATTTATTTATAATGTGAGTTTTAACATTACATCCAAAAATCAAAATCCAAAAGAACAAACCACATTTATTGTAGAAATCTTAAAAGAAAACATAATCCAAGGTTGAAAAAATGAGGAAAATGAAGTAATTTTTTTTTTTTTTTTTAAATGTTGAGAATGTTTTAGAGAGATGCAAGACTAGTTAGAAGTAATGTACACACATACACACGTACATACAAGAGAGTATATAAAAAGAGAGATAGCTTCTAAAAAAAAACTATCTATTGATGTCATTGTCTCATTTGTAATCATAGAGAATTTTAAATAATGTAATAAGTGTTTAATACCATTTCAATGTTATAGTATTGGACATGCATTGTATCTTGCAAGAATACTAATTACAAATACAATACTTGATCTTATAGATGAAGCTAAATATAAAAGTGCTTCAATCATTGTAAAGTATGGATAATAATCTTCCAATATTTCTTCTTCCTCTTTGCAAGGATGGTATAGATCATCACCATCATGACCACATCCAACTATTGATGTTGCAAAGGACAAGTATTAATCATATTGAATCTTTGCAAGATTTTTCTAATATATTAATTGATAGAAAAAAATACTACCATCTATGAAATTTTTAATTTGAAGATTAATGCAAAAAGTTATTATTTTTTAGTATTTTCATCTCAAACACACAAATAAGTAGGTTAGTAGCTGTAATACAAACAGATCTAATATCTATTAGGTTAAGATAATCAATATATATAATAATGATCACAAAACTAATTTTATCTTATTTGATAAATAAACAAGCAATTAGTGGACAACCGAACTGTGTAATAATATTTTCATACAAAAAGGTTGCTATTGTACTTGCACTATCAGTTTTCGTAGGTACGACTTCAATCCATTTTTTTATGTAATCCGTTGCTACCAATATATACCATTTTTGTCTATTTCTCGAGGCTGGTACAATTGGTCCCACAAAATCAATTCCTCATTTTTCAAAAGACGCTTGAGCCAGAATTCGTACCAATGGCATTGCTGAAGTTCCAGTAGGTCGACCCGTTCTCTGACATGGGTGACAATGATAGACAAATTGGTGGGCATCTGCAAACATTGTTGGCTATCAATAACCAGCCTCTAAAGCTTTACGAGCCGTGCTGTTCCCTGCAAAATGTCCACCACAATTATCCATGTGGCAACCTTCCAATATAGTCTGATAAATACAATGTCGCAAAACCCCATCTTTGCCTTATTTATATAAAACTTCACTAATCATTGTATAAGGTGCACATTTTAATATTAAGCGTCATTTAAGCTTTTCATTAAAATTGGGTGGAAAGGTTTGAAATGTCAAGTATTGAATTATTTCACTATACTCAGGAGTAATTACATCTACCACTGTCAAATTATGTCCTATCTTACTTGAGAATGCACCAGGCATCTCATTGTGAAAGATAAAACAATGTTTTACAAGTATTTAGATAGGCTAGTGGATTTCAACCATCTAAATACAAGCTATTTCGGATTTCAATGTAAAAGCTTAATTCTAATACAAAGTACTTAGAAACACTATTTTTAATAACTTCAAGATATTATAAGCACAAAGTCTTTTATTATTTGTTAGTTTTTATTTTTTATTTTTTATTTTTTATATTTTTATTTTATTTTATTTTATTATTTTATATTTAATCCTAACTCTAGATAGCGAGCTTCAGCAAGCTCTAATTCTCAATTTGACCATCTGATTGTTGTAAATTTCTACAATAGTGTCTTTGTAAGCCTTCTAAATGCTCAAGAAGTTTCAATCCAATCTAACTTACAGGTTACAAGAAAACGTTGTTAATCCACATTGATGTATCTTGACCACTGCCTAGAAGTCTTTGACTTATTCCAGTCGATAGATCTCCAGATATTACAAAAATCCTAAACAATCTCAATCTGCTAACTTTTGATACCTCTTTACATTAATGGTCAAATATCCTCTATCTGTTCCATCACATTAACACAAACTTTTGCATGCTCTCGACATACTCAACTCTCTAGACACCTCTAAATTTCAACCGCAGAAGTTTTTCCAATTTCACAAAACAGTCAAGAGTACCAGCCATTACTTTATTGCAAAAAATCCAATTCACCAATACAAACACTGACTTTCAGCAACGATTACCAAAGTTCTCCCAAGCCTTATGAAATCCAATTCTATACCTTTCGAAGGAGCTTGAAGTTAGCTCTCCGACTCTAAAAAACCGATCTCCAAATGCTTCTTTCTTTATCCTCTCCTCCCTTTTAAGTCTGTGTGGTCTCCTTTTTCTTCCGCCTTGGACTCCGAATTGGAATAGCCAATGGCGCCTCCCCAGAATTCTTGTTTCTAAGAAGATCTTTCCATGGAAAGGAGGTTTCCTCCAAAATGGCATAGAGAACGGAACAGCTTCAAATGGAACTGAAGCCTCCATATTCTGAATCTCATTGGGTTGCCCAACAAAGTCAAGTCTCATACTGGGTAAGAGGCCCATACTAGGACTTGGATTGGATGTCCCCGTAATTGGGTCAAATTAGTCCTTCACATCAGACTCACCAAATTATTCAATTGGTCCTTTTTCCTTTTGCCGACTTCTAGTAAGAACGGCTAGAACTCATTCCACCCGATTTACTGGAGAAACTTGAGGACCTTGATTTATCTCCTCAATTTTTTCTTGGCTTTGAATCTGTTGATCTCGTTTATTCAAATTGGATGGAGCATTATACTGTTGATAAGTATGCCTCAACTGCTTGTAATTTCCTCATATTGATGAGTAATCATCACTGGCTTTGGAACTAGAACATTTACTAGCATAATGACCAACCTGTCTACAATAAAAATGATGAAGTGGACTTTTTGCACCTCCATCATGTATATTGGAAGTCTCCACCAGTATATACATACTAGGCTTGTTCCATGTAGGGTTAGAAAATGATCTTGGTTGTCCGTTGGTACGGAGTGTACTGGATTCGATGACACCGGTGGGGAGACATTAATT